GACGGGGGGTCTGGGGGGGTCTGAGCTGGAGGGGAGGGGGTCTAGGGGGTGCAGGATCAGGTTGAGGGATCCTGTGAGCAATGAGGGGGCCAGGACCACAGTGAGGGGGGGCCTTGAGCAAGGGGGGAGGCTCTAAGGGGGCCAGGACCAGGTCAAGGGGGGGCAACAAGCAGTGGGGGAGGCTGGGGGGGGGCACCTGGCACCCAGCAGCAAGGAGGACCCCCAGCAAGGGGGGGTCCCCACTCTGGGAAGGTGCAGGGACAAGGAGCCCAAGATGGGCCCATGGTGGACCCCAATGTGGCGGGCAGCTCTGGCTCCCAGTGATCCCGGGCTAAAACCAGCTCGGGATGTTGCTCTTGGCAATGGGCACCCCGAGCCTGTGCCCGAGGCCTGCCACCCCTTCCTGGGGGGCAGCCGCTGGGGGGGGCACTTCCCAGGGGTGGACACCATGGCTGGGATGGACATCTTAGCTGGAATGGACACCATAGCTAGGATGGACACCGTGGCTGGGACAGATATCTTACTGGGATGGACACCACAGCTGAGATGGACACCATAGCTGGGATGGACACCATAGCTGGGATGGACATCTTAGCTGGGACAGACATCTTAGCTGGGATGGACACCACAGCTGGGATGGACACCACAGCTGGGATGGACACCATAGCTGGAATGGACACCATAGCTGGGACGGACATCTTAGCTGGGATGGACACCACAGCTGGGACAGACATCTTAGCTGGGACGGACACCATAGCTGGGATGGACGTCTTAGCTGGAATGGACACCATAGCTGGGACGGACATCATAGCTGGGATGGACACCACAGCTGGGACAGACACCACAGCTGGGATGGACACCATAGCTGGGACAGATATCTTAGCTGGGATGGACGTCTTAGCTGGAATGGACACCATAGCTAGGATGGACACCGTGGCTGGGACAGACATCTTAGCTGGGATGGACACCATAGCTGGGACGGACACCACAGCTGGGATGGACACCACAGCTGGGGTGGACACCATAGCTGGCACGGATACTTCCTGGGGTTGGACACCCTCCCTGGGATGGACACAATGGCTAGGATGGACCCTTTCCTGGGATGGACACCATAGCTGGGACGGACATCTTAGCTGGGATGGACATCTTAGCTGGGACAGACACCATAGCTGGGATGGACACCACAGCTGGGATGGACACCACAGCTGGGACAGACACTTCCCACAAATACCGTTGGCACAGCCATGTCTCCCTGGCTGGTACAGGGGTACCAGTAGAACCAGCCACGTTTGTGGGTGGGCAGCGAGGACTCCCCAGGACGCCAGCATCACTGTCGCCCCAGCAGTAGCCCATGAGCCTGGCTGCCTCCCAGGCGACCATGCTGCGGGCTCCCGCCTGACGAAGCCAAGCAGCGTTGCTGGCTGAAAGCGCGGCACGAACCAAGCCGGGAGGTGCAGGGTCGGTGCCGTGGCTCGGGCACCCCATGGGACTGCTCCGCCACCCGGGCACACAGGCAGGAATGGGCAGATTATGGCGCTGCGGGCAGCGATACTGGGGCTGAGCGAGACGCTGGGGGTGCCGATAAGCCCCATCTGTGGCTCGGTCCCCAGCGAGGTGGGACGAGGACAGCATGGGGACAGCTCTCATCGGTGGGGTGGTTTATCTGCCGCTGCTGCCTGCTCAGTCCCTGCTGCTCCCTCACCTCGGCAGGGCCTGGACCCAGGAGCTCCAGCTCTGCCGCCAGCAGTCCTGCAGGATGCGTGCCTCAGTTTCCTCACCCTGTCCCTCTTCTGGCCGCAGCAGCTGCAAAAGGGGGGGCCAACAGGGTTTCACTCCTGGTTTGCTTCTCGCTGCAGACAAAAGCGGCCTAAAAGGGTTTATTTTTGGCCAAATCAGAACCAAATTCAGCGTGTTGAACCAGAAACCCCCTCGACGTGGCAGGGCAGGGCTCATCGCAGCAGCCGCCGTCCCCGGGGCCCCGAGTCGCAGGAGTGGGTGGCAGCCGCAGCCTCCCCTGGGTGCACAGAGCAAAAAGCAGCAAAACAGGAAGGGGGGGACAGAGACGCCCTTTTGCCATCCCCCCACCGCAACTTCCTCCCCGCCACCACCAAGGATGCTTCGAGGTGGGGAGGTTCTGCTCCAGGAGCCCCAGGAACCTCTGGCCACAGCTCCTAAAATTGCAGCCTCGCCCAGAGCCTCCACCACGGCCATGGGTCCCGGCTGTGCCAGCAGAGCCATGTTGTGTGTCACCATCACTGCCGGCGCCTCGGCATCTCGCTGCCACCCTCCTCCTCCTGTGTTCCTCCAGCTCGCCAACATCTGCAGTCTTTAAAATGTCTCAAATCCTGTATTTTGGTGCTAAAGTGCTCCAGAGCCCCACACACTCCATGGCTTGGGAGGAGGGTGACCACCCCCCC